GACAGTAGTTGCACAGCCACTGCATGTCCAGCAGCTTCTAAAACTTAAGCACCATCAAGCAGCACAGCAACAGAAAGCTATCCAGCCTCAGGTTGCACAGGGACAAGCTACTGTGCAGCAAAAGGTATAGCCTCTCTGCTCTTCCTTTGAGCTTTGTGGTGCTTCTCTAGCTGTAAAGCTTTGGTTCTAGACTATGACTCTGCTATAGATCCAGTTAATGTATTTGTGGGCAGATCTGAAGAGATCAGTTTTTGGTGGAGAGAACAGTGTCTCATATGTGTTGTCAGATGCTTAATGTTTTTTTTCAATAAGACTATTGTTTGATCTTTTTTTGTGCCACAAACTGTTCCACTTGTTTTCTCTTTTAGGTAATAGTAGAAAGATTAGGATTCTCTGTGTTGTCTTCCAATATAGCCACATGTTTTCACCTTTTATGATATACACCATGTAAAACATACTTTTTCCTGAAATGTCATCTGCTCATTAACTTCGCTATCAATCAGCCATCAGTGTGGTTTTGCTGTAGATTATAGGTTTTTCAGAGGTGTATTCCTGCATGAAGTGTGTGTGTAAGAGAACCTTTCCAGACAGTGCTTTAAATGGTTCAAACTACTTGTATAAATGCATGAAAGCTTTCTTCCACTACCCATTTTTCTACTCTTAAGCTTGAGAGGATTTTGTTTCAGTAGCTAAATGTAATTAGTTTAAATGGTTACATACTCATTCTTTAAAAAATACATAAATTTTGTAGACACCAATGTTTTTTTTCCTCTTCTACAGATAAATGCTCAACAAGTTACAGTCCAAGCCCAGCAGCAGACATCACAACAACAGAAAGTAACTTATACTACGCAGCCAGCCATTAAAACACAGTTCTTGACAACTCCCATTTCCCAGACCCAGAAACCAGGTGGAACCCAACAAGTGCAGGCTCAGATTCAGGTACAGGTAACACCTTTAACCTTTATTGTGGCTGGAGAATGGTAAAGGTGACAGGTATCTTTGCATTTTATTCCTTACTCTAACTAATTCTTGTTACATGTTTGTATAAACTGACTTTATAATAAAATTAATTGATGCTATATTTGCAGCCTTGTTAGCCATCAGAGGAAGCATCTGAGCTATAAGGTCTCCTTTTGTCTTTGAAAGAAGTAAATTGTGTAACTCTATTAAGTACTGGATTCCAGCTGTGTTTACTAGGGAACATTGAGCCAGGATTCTTCCCATCTTCTAGTGTTGCTTCCTGGCCCAGCCTGTGGCTGACAGACTAGCTGACAGTCTCTTCTTTTTTGCACAACTAGGTCAATCTAACCAAGGGACTAGCAAGAGAATTAGGAATTGGAAACATTATCTTAAATATACTTTTGAAAGAATAATGTAGAATATTAGAATATCTGCGCTTCCTTTGATTTTATATGGTCAGTGGAGGAAATGTAAGTATTTTGCAGTTAAGACAGCGGTTC